TCTTCCCGTTTCTCACGCCTCAGTGTCTCTGGAATCAGGCCGCACAGACACACACACACACACAGACACACACACACACACACGTCTGGTCAGCTATACTTGTAGGGACTCTCCATAGGCGTAATGCTTTTTCTACTGTACAAACTGTATTTTCTATCACCCTACACCTAACCCTACCCCTTACAGGAAACTTTCTGCATTCTTTTTCTACTGTACAAACTGTATTTTCTATCACCCTACACCTAACCCTACCCCTCACAGGAAACTTTCTGCATTATTACTTTCTCAAAAAAACTCATTCTGTAAGATTTATAAGCTTGTTTCCTCATAGGGACCTAAAAAATGTCCCCACAAGGTCACAATTGACTGATATTACTATCCTTGTGGGGACATTTGGTCCCCATAACGTGATGAATACCAGGTACACTCTCACTTACACACATACACTTACACACACACACACACACACACACACACACACACTCGTACTGAGGTAGAAGGTGAATCCGGTGTCGGCTGAACTCTCTCGGGCCTCGCAGTCTCCAGACGAACTGAGTGTTGTGACGTGAACGCCATACGTTCCTGCTTCTGAGAGCTCGGTGAAGAACTCGTGTGTGTTCTCATCCACCGTCGCCGTTTCTGTGGAGTTTCCTGCTCAAACAACGAAGACAAGAACAGAGGAATAGATTTACAAAGGGTTTAACACCTATTTTTATTTATTATTTTATTTATAAATGTTTGAGTTACTAATTATTACAGCCTATTTTACATCAACGCTGGCTGTTTTGGTGGAGTTTCCTGCTCAAAGAACAAGGAAAAGAACATAGAACATGCTTATTTTTATTACTGCCTATTTTAATTTATTTATTATTTATGAATTAATTAATTTGTTATGGTTTAATTGTCATATATTAATTATTATTGCCTATTTATATATTTTTTTTATTTATTAATTTTAAAAGTTTTATTTTTATTCATTAATTATTACAGCCTTTTTTTAAATGTATTTGTTATTTTCATTTATAACAGTTTAATTGTGATGTATTAATTATTACTGCCTATTTTAATTAATTATTGAGAATTTATTTATGAAGTTTTATTTTTATTTATTCATTATTACTGCCATTTTTATTATTTTTCTTTGTTTATTAATTTATAACTGTTTTATTTTAATTTATTAATTTAAGCCTATTTTTCTTTGTTTATAATTTAATTATTAATTTTAGTTCATAATTGCTTTATTTTTATTAATTAATGATTACTGCTTATTTTAAATTTATTTATTAATCTATTTATAATTTTTTTTTTATTAATCATTACTAAAGCATATCTTTATTAATTATGTTTATTTATTGATTCAGCATGAGCAGTTTTTAATCTAAATTAGATTGTATAATTTCGAAATCTGAAGCAAAAACAGAATGGTCTGACTTTATTTTTGTGAAACTATACTACATAAAACATCTGAATGAAACAGCAGACGAGCTGAACGAGACGCAGATGCACTCTCTGACAGCAGGTGGCGCTCATGAACAGCAATTATACAGTGTTTCCTTGGTTACCGCTGTAAACAAAGCAGAGCTGTGCTTATGAACAGCAATGTTCAGCAATGTTACGATGTTCAATGTTACGAACAGCAGATTGATGAAGAATGGCGCCGATGATGATGGCGGCCTCCGTGGCCTGCTCTGCAGTTGTTTTTGTGCTTTTGTTAGTTTGTCCTGTTTTTAGTTATATCCTGCAATCAGTTTCACCAGAGATGAATTGCTGGACATTCGGCACTACACATCACCCGATATATTACCGGTTTTCGACTATTCTGATGTTTTGCTGGACATAGTAGTTGGCAGAGCAGCTGCGCTGATCAAGCGCTTCAGGA